ACGTATCAAGAACGCGATTTATGCAATATGTAGATCAATATCAAAAATCACGTTACTTATATATCTGAACAAAACAAGAAAACGCGAAATGTCGTTGTTTATTTACCGGTACTTCACGTTTTTTACTTCTCTATTTAAACTCATTTGTAATTTCCCTCTTTCATTATTTTTTTTACTCACTTGCAACTTCTCTTTTTCATTATTTTTTTTACTCACTTGCAACTTTCCTCTTTCATTATTTTTTTTACTCACTTGCAACTTCCCTCTTTTATTATTTTTTTTACTCACTTGCAACTTTTCTTTCATTTTTTTTTTCTTTTTGCTTCAATTCTTTCGGGTATTTTTTCACTCACCATTTATAATGGAAGGTAGGAATAAAATCTCTTTTTTTTTTCCTACTATAAACTTCTTCTTCACTCTCTAGGGAGTCCTTTCATTTCCATTCTATTGAGAGTCTTATTCCAATTTTGCTTCTTCGAGAGTTCAAGTTCCATTTCAATTACACTTCTTCGGATCTTTTGTCAAAGCCACTTGACTTTGAAAGAGAGGTCGTTTACGTTTTCTTTGACTGCGAAGAGAAGAACTAACAGTATCTTTTTTACCATGGTAAATAGGTTCTCTTTCATGTTGTAGAAATCCCGAATTTACGGTTTTAATGACTGGAGGACTTTCTGATATAAGCGTAAATGAATTAGAAGATTGGTTAAGATTAGTGATGCAGTAGAATCGTCCCAATGAATTTTACGGCGTACGGCCAGTTACGGTTACGGCAAAAAAATGTATGATCCCATTGTACTGTAATTAATAATTAACTTCGTAACAATAGCATTATTAATTAAAGCGTAATTTAATTTAAGCTATAATTTGTATGTAATAATTACGTTATAAAAGTAATAAATAAAATAAATTTGCCTCCATTTCATTTTAATTTTGTATGGATTTATTATTTTTGTTTTTATAACTGAATTTTGAATCTTTAAATTTTCTTACATCGCGTATCATACGTTTATGTATCAAAGGTTGCAGATAGTGTAATTTACGCAAATTACATAAAATTATCGTTATGATTTTAGCTATAACAGATAACGAGGGTAGACTGCATTGTATTTGAAAAAAAAATCATTAAATCGACCATCGATACAAGCGCCTTAGTATAAATTATAAAATTATTTTTTTTACTTTCAGAACGTTTCAGATAAAATTAATATTTTCAAGAAAGTTGATAGTTTTAGATGGGAACAACTCATGTATCTCGATATTCATAATGCGAACTCATTAAACTCCTTAATTATTTATTTATTATAATAATTAGGATACTGTATATTTTATTACATACCTTGATCTTTATCATTCTCTGGTAAAAACCTCTTTGGAATCAAATTGTCACTACTACATCTATTGTAAGTGCCAGTTTAATTATTTAGAGCAACTGAAAGAAAACATTCTTTACAAATTAGGACAATAGATATTTTAAGTTCCAGCATTATGAAATTTTTTAGAAGACCACGATTGTTATAAAATTTTATAATGATATATAATCTTATATAGTTATTAATATTGTATATATTATATATACCCTTAACGCTATTTTCTATATTTATATGTTGTGTTTTCCTTTAATTGACGTTTATGGCGAGCTTGTCTCTTTTCTGACTTGTTTTTTTTATACGCTAATTGCTGTTGCTGTTCCTGAGACATCGAATTTTTCGTCGTCTTCTTTTTTTTATTGTGATTTGCTCAGGTGTGTAAGTTCTTTTTTGCATTTTAAAAATTTATCAAATTGAAAAAAAATTTCCAATACGATTAACCACAATAAAAAATTTTTCAAAGTAATATGCAAATTTTGATTATGGTATTATTACGTATCTTATAGCATATTTTATGATGTGTATTTTAAAATCATGTAAAGTTTTTTTTTTTTTGACATACAATATCGTAATTTAATGAAATAAATATAAGCTTTAAAAGTCCTTTACTTTATTTTGAACTAAGATTTTGGTATCCAGATATTGAACCTGCTTTAGGTTCAATTTCTGGATACGTAACCTTAATCTGGATCAGTTGAACCGGAACCGGACATTTTCGAAAATTTGTAGTGTAAGACTTGAAAGGCTTCCATCTCGCTTCCCTCGACTCCAGCCAATT